CCAGGGGCAAATATTAGTAATAAAAACAAAGAAGCTGACTAAATCCTTTTTCTTAACCCTACTCCTCTCGTCTTGAGGGACTCCTTGAGTCCCTGTAAGAATAAGTCATGCTCACTCAATTCTTGTCCCATAATTCGTCGTTCTGACTTACCTCTTGGATCAAACTCACAGATGGGCAGCTCTGTGGAGATCTCTTGTGCAGGAGTTTTTTAGTTTCCTGGTGAAAACGCTGAATCCTATGCATTTTTGTGGCCACTGAAGAACGACGTTCCATCCAGTCCTCCGTACCTTTAGGTCACGTTGGGTGCCAGAAATGTCCCGACCTGTGGGATTTCAACGGGTTCCTAAAGAGGGAGGTGGAAAGAATGGGTGTGTGTGTGGGGGGGAGAGAACAAGAGATGCAAGGAATGAAGCCTAGTCTGTTTGTCTAATCAAGGCCTCATTTATTAGAATTTTTTACCCAACTGATATAGGGAGAAGGCAGGGAAAGGGGGAAGGTTAATTTACTGCTGCAGGAGATAGGAAGAGTGCTTTCATGGGTTGAATATTGAACCTGCAAGATACCATAAGGATGTTTTCTTAAGATATCTCACAGATGCTCTAAAACTAACAGACGAATGTCCTCACAAATCTATCACCCATGATTTAGGGTCCTAAGTAACTCTTTCATTACATAGCTTTAGGTCTCCACTAAATGACCTTTGCTCACTATTTGGCTTTGTCTTCACTAAATGGCCTTGGCTCCTGGCACAGATGTCATAGGGAAAGTGGGTTGTGGTAGCACAGTGAGGTAGGGATGACCTTTCCTGGCATATAGAAGAGCTAATTAAAATGTCCATGAGACATTGGAACTGAAAATAGCAAAGCTACTGAAGACTTGAGTTCTTCAAGAGGACTCACACCATCCCTCTAGGTATATAAAAGATTTAGAAGGTTCTATTCAAGGGGGAACAAAATAAAGGCTTGGATGTTATTGATATCACTTGTCAATCCAAACAAACCGTGGGAGCTATGTATACCTCTCCTGTTTCTTGAGGTCATGTCTCTCCTCCATCCCTTTATTGCTTCATGTAAGAACGGTTGTTTGGTTGACAGGTGGAACTGAATGGGTTGAGGAATGTTTACCATTCACAGAAATGAATATCTGTGCTATTACATCAAGATAAATTTTGAACTTGATCTTTGTAATTAGGCAAGGGTTAAGAAAGACTTTATGTGGAGGACAAATGAGCATTATTAGGTAAAACCATAAAGTTATCTTTCTTGTTAAACAGAGGATTCAAAATACATATAGAAGGGAATATATAAACCACCAGTGAGGTGGCTGCAGTGGTTGTTAAATTATTAGCTTTCACTTCCTGTTGAAGCACATAGGAACAAATACAGAGACTCACAGGCAGACATCACATCCCTTCCATCCCCAACTCCCACCCTGATCCTCACTCCCAGAGAGAAAGAGAGAGAGAGAGAGAGAGAGAGAGAGAGAGAGAGAGAGAGGACAGTGGACATCAGGAGAGCAAGGTCCTCTAAACCACCGGTGCAAGGCTCATATAAACTCACAGAGACTTAAGCAGAATGAGTCTGCACCATGTCCTCTCAGTTTAGTACTTTTGTGGGACTCCTGAATGTATGAACATGTGGATCTCATTCTTATGCCTTCTCTTTTCTTGCTGGTTTGCCCTGTTCAAGTTCTATGTGATGGTTTTTGTTTTATCTTATTATAGTTTATTTTGTTATGTTTGGTTGCTATCTCTTAGAATCCTGTTCTTCTCTAATGAGAGACAGACAGGGAAAGGATTTTGATGGGAGAGGAGGAGGTGGAGAGGAACTGAGAGTAGAGGGAGTGGAGATGTACTGAGAATATATTGTATGAGAAAATACTTTATTTTTAATAAATGGAAAATTATTATCTCTCTACTTTAGGCACACTGTTCTGTTCTATAATCTGCTATACCAGTGTTCTCAGCTTGTGGGTTGAGACCCCCAAAAGAGTCTCATTTCAGATATCCTGCACATCAGATATTTACAAGTCATAATTGTTAGTGTTTAGGCAATCTGCTTCTTGGTTGCCTAGCAACCTATGATGTCATCATGTGCTGCCTGCCAGGAAGCCACACTTGGCAGGTGTGGTTAAGTTGTTCTTTAAAAAGATTAACCCACCATTTTGTTGCTCTCTTGCCCTCTATTATTCTCTCACTTTCCTCCTCTCTCTTCTTTCTCTGTCAGGGCATCCCTCCCTTCCCCCTATCACCTCTCGCTCTCTTCTTCTCTCTCTCTCTTCATCTCCATCTTATAAACATTTTTCATATAAAATATATGTGCATCAGCATTTCATTGGTCCTAACAATAACAGTAGCAAAATTATAGTTATAAAGTAGCAACAAAGTAAGTTTATGGTTGGGAGTCAACACAACATGAGGAACTGTATTAAAGGGACACAGCATTAGGAAGGTTAGAAATCACTGTGCTATATGATGTCAACTTGCAAGGGTTCTGTTTTATGCCTTATACCCACCCCAGTTGCAGAAAACCAGCTTCACGGTCCTCCTAAGAAATAGCATCATCAATGAGCAATGTTCCTTTTCTTGAAATATACATTTTATCGTCATAGGCATCTTCCTTGCAATTTATTTTATTGTTAGTGAGGGTAGGATCTCTAGCCTAAGCTGGCCTGGGATGCATGATATAGCCCCTGCTGCTCTCAAGCTTGTGCCAATTCCTTTGTCTCAGTCTCCACAGTGCTGAGATTACAGGCTTGAGATGTCACACCTGTCCTCCTTGTGGATTTTTAGGTGTTCACAAGCAGGCACTCCGATCTCGTGACATCTGAGCCTCAGTTTCAGAGGGTCCCTCTTCTACTTTTCTAAAGTCTAGTGACATTCACGTTCCCACTTTGTTCTCGGAGGCCTGTGTGTTTTAAATGCCTTCTACATTTCTATAAGTTAAATCAACATCTCCTTTTGGTCTTTTCTATCCTTCACTGCCTGGCTAACAACTCTTTATTTTCAACTTTTTGTGAGAATGATTGGCACTATTTCATTTTCCTGCCTTATCTGAAAGAGGCTCAGTGAAGAGAAAGTGAGAGAGGAGATATGTTTTTATGCAGATGGCTCTCGAACAGGGATTGTCAGATCATTATTATCCATTCATGTCTGAATATCCTATTAGACTAAGCCTCATGAGGACAGAGATTATGACTTTCATATCCAAGCACCTAGTACTATCTGGAATGTGGTGTGATTTGAATAAATGTTTGTTAAACAGACTGAAGGAGAGTTTTAAAGGCAAGAGAAAACAATTACGTGTATTAAAGAAATTTAATTTTTTTTTGTTCTCATGATACGACTTAACCACCCTTTCCAGGGTCCATTCTATAACAGTGTTAGGAATTAACCTGAATCCCCATGACACATTCATTTTACCCCATTTCTCACACTATGCTAGAACTACACATGATAGAAAGCTTGGGTGTGTGAGAGATGGAAGAGGTTGATAATTTCATGTAACCATGGGTATTTCTCAGCCAGGTCCAGAGAGCTTTCTTGACCTCACAGCTGTCAGTGTCCACAGTGCTAGGCTTCATGAATTTTAGTCCTTCCTCATTAAAGGTACCCTGCAGCTCTTCTCTGCCTGGGATCCTTCTCTAAGAGCTCTCCAAGAAAGCTGGTGCCAGGGAACCTCCAGAATTCCACAGACTCCTCCCACAATCCCATGCCTCCAGTCCATAGCCTGAAAGACAGAAGGCAGAAGATCATTCTCTCTTTGCTACTCTAGTACAGGTTCTTTTCCACTCCCTAACATTTCCCTCAGCCTGGCAGAAGCAGCGATGAAAAATTCAAGAAAAGATCAATTACTGATTTTCTTTTTCAACATGCACATTGTTTATTAGGAGCTAGTGATACATACTTACTTTGAGGTGGGATAAGAGGCAGGGAGGAAAGCAAGAGAAAGAATTAGTAAAATCTCCAGCTACAATGGGGAGGTTATAGGCCCTAGTAAGGAAGCTACAACTGTTGGTAAATGGACATACTAAACGTACCTGCTGGTTTGCTTTCTAAATAACTGTGTTTGTCACCATAGATCAGTACTGCTGCCACTTTTGTCAGAGAAACTTCTTCTTGCAGTAGGTAGTGGCTGCTGTCAACACTTGTAACTTGTCATAAGACAGCCACAAATATGACATCTGTATCACCACTTCCAAGGCTCATGGAACATAGTAGAAGAGATGTTGGGAAGAATGGAAGAGGTTGAGGTTGACGTGGAATGCTATGAAATGCTGTTTTCTGGAGATAATATGACTATTGCACTCTTGAACTCATAGCAGCTGTCCTTACCTGGGAGGGGGCTCATGAAGCCCCACCCCTCTCTGAGGATTCATAAGTTTAGTTTTAGTGGTTGTTGGAGAAAGAAGAGACATGTTCTTCCTGTCTGTAAATTACCTTTCAGAGATGTTCCTCTTAGCAACTTGATTAAATTCATTGAACTGCACACACATACACACACAGACGCACACAGATACAGACACATGCACGCACACACACGACATGAAAGTAGAAATGGAAGATAGTTGAGAAGGTTCTCAGTGCAGTGCAGGAAAAGAGAGAGTAATGGGGTGAATATGATCAGAATACATTATCTACATGCATGGAAGCATCATAACAAAGCCAATTATTACATTAAAAAATTAAAAAAATTCTTCTGCAGAATAAAAGAAAGGAAAAGAAGGCACCATCTTTTGAATTTTAATTATTCCTTTTGTCCTACTTATAGTAGGCTTAGTAACAACACAAGCATGTGCTGATCTTGGTAAGAAAGTTTTATTTATTCACTTTTTACTGGTTTTGAAACAGGAAGGAACTTAGAAGAAGGGTGCTTTTCTTCCCACATGTAGAAGGCTGAGCCATATGTTTGCAGTCCTCCTCTGTCGTGTTATCCTCAGAGGTCATTGTGGACAGGCCATTTCATCACCCAGATGTTGGACACAAAAGAACCAGAAACTTTTAAAACTTTTCATTGCACATGTCGTAGCCCCGGCAGCACCTGAAGTCCACCAGATAGGAGCCCCACTTTATTTTTTTCACATTAGCACAGTTCTTTAAGCAGCCCATGAAGTATAACCATTTGGAACCATCCTCTGCAGAAGAGGAGGAACAAATCAGCAAGGCTGGCAGAAGATCCTGTAAATCCACTTGTCCCTAACCCACACTGACATCTAAAAATCACCACATGAAGTTCATGATCCATTATTCAGATGTGAAGGATTGGAAGGCATTGGATTGGAAGCTACCCAAAAGAAAAGAAATAGTGGAGTAGTTTTAAGACATTTTTAATAGCATGCTCTAAGGTCAACAATTAATAAATGGGACCTCTTGAAATTTAAAAGCTTCTATAAAGCAAAGGACGCTGTCGTTCCAATTTTAGTATATGTGCTGCCGAAGCGAGCACGCAAAAGACGCTGTCAACAGAACAAAATGTCAGATTGGAAGAAGATCTCCAACTCTACATCCGACAAAGGGTTAATATCCAGAATATATAAAGAATCCAAGAAATTAAACACCAACAAACCAAATAATCCAATTAAAAATGGGGTACAGAGCTAAACAGAGAATTCTCAACAGAGGAGTCTCAAATTGATATCAAAATGACTCTGATATTACATCTTACACCCATCCGAATGGCTGAGATAAAAAAACTCAAGTGACAGCACATGCTGGTGGGGATGTGGAGAAAGGGAACACTTCCCTATTGCTAGTGGGAGTGCAAACCATTTTAGAAATCAATTTGGCTTTTTCTCAAAAAATTGGGAACAGCTCTACCTCAAGACCCATCTATACCACTCCGGGGCATATACCCAGGAGTTTATGTTCCAGCATACAACAAGGACATTTGCTCAACTATGTTCATGGTCACCTTATTCATAAAAGCCATAAACTGAAAACAACATAAATGTCCCTCAACTGAAGAATGGATACAGAAACTGTGGTACATTTACACAATGGAATACTATTCCGCTATTAAAAACAAAGAAATCATGAAATTTGTAGGCAAATGGATGAAACTAGAAAGATCATCCTAAGTGATGTAACCTGGACCCAGAAAGACGCACATGGTATGTAATATATTAGACCTTTATAGTACAGGATAAACATGCTACAATCCACAGACCCAAAGAAGATAAAAAACAAAGAGGACCCAAGGGAGGATGCTTAAATCTCATTCAGAAGGAGAAATAGAATGGATGGCAAAAGCAGTTGAAGACAGGGAACAAGGTAGGAGAGGGAGTCTGAGAAAAATGAGGATGGATATCAGACATGGGGCTAGGGGTGGGGAGGAGAGAGAGCCTGCAGAGAGAAGAGAAACCATGGGAAGGGACTTCTCTGTGGAAATCTGGAGATCTATGACAGGGTAGGATTCTGAGAGGATATGGGGATGACTGTAGCTGAGATTCCTGGTAGCAGGGGTCATGGAGACTGAGGAAGACACCCTCTAACTAGATAAAATTCTTAGTGGAGGAAAGAAAACACCACCCCATCCAGAAAAAGTTTGACCAAAATTTCACCCTGTCAACAAGATGTGCAGGAATAAAGATGGAGCATATTGAGGAAATATCCAGCCAATGACTTGATCAATCTAAGACTCACCTCAAGGGAGTGAGCCAATCCCTGACACTGTTAACAATACTCTGCTATGCTTGCAGATGGGAGTCTAGCATAACTGTCCTCTGAGAGACGCCATCCAGAAGCAGACAGAAAAAGATGCTGAGACTCAGAGCCAAACATTGGGCAAAGCGTAGAGATTCTTGTAGAAACGTGGGGTGGGGGGAAGGATAGAAGAACCTGGAGAGGACAGGAGCTCCACAAGAAGACCAACAGAGCCAACTAACCAGGGCCCAGAGGGGCTTGCAGAGACTGAAGCACCAACCAACAACCACACATGGACTGGACCTAGGATCCCTACACAGATGTAGCCAATGGGCATCTCAGTTTTCATGTGGATTTCCTAGTAAGGATAACCAGGCTGTCTCTGACATGGACTCTGTTGGCTGCTTTCTTATCATTTCCCCATGGTGGGGCTGCCTTGCCAGGCCACAGGGGAAAGGGATGAGCTTAGTCTTGATATGACTCGATATGCTGGGATGGGTAAGTGGCGGGGGTGGGTGGCAGGGGTGGGGCTCCCCTTTTCTGAGGAGTAAAAGAGGGGTTGTAAGGGGAAGAGGGAGGGTGGGACCAAGAGGAGAGGATGGAGGGGGCTATGATTGACATGTAAAATGAATAAATAAATGAATTAATTTAAAAAGACTTTACTGGAGGAAAGAAGATTATCATGAGAAAAGTGCATCAGGGATTACTACAATGAGAGACTTTTAATGAGAACCTCAAGGCTTGGATATCATGGAGGGGAGGAAACTAGAGAAATGGTGCCTAATCTTATTCACAGTGAGATGTAACCAGGGCACATTGCCGACACTGCCCTCTCTGTTTCCATAGCTAGGAGTCATTCATGCAAAAGCTTGGTCAGGTACACAGAGAGCCGTTTTTATTACCAACTAGCTGGTCCTCAGAGGGTGAGTTCTTATGTCCATTGTCTCACCCGTACTCGACCCCCTCTGTTCTCTTCAGGATTCCTACTGTTGCCTTGAGTATCACCCCTGCTTCAGCAGCTACCTCCATTTCTTTCTTTCTCCTTCTTTTTCTTCTTCTTTTTTTTTTATCATAGTGCATCATTGGAGCGATTTTTTTTACCAGCTATCTTAAGAGTGAGGCTGTCTATAGTAACTGGAAGTTTCTTCACTCATCCCCAAGGCCCACATGTCCTGCTTTCTCTTCCCCGTCTTTGCTTCCTTACCCCACCACTTACTTCTGAAGATCTTTCCAGACACACATGCCTCTTCTGCCGTCGCAGTACATATTCCTCTTCCTCTGGAGCACTCTTCTCCAGGGAACTGCAGGTGGCACATCCTACACTGCACAATTTCCACAACTTGAAGAAAGATGTGAGAGAAGATGATTCTATCAGGAGAGAGCCCATCTCCCCTTCCAAGTTTAAAACCTGCTTAGAGCTGGAAGCATCCCCACTCCAAACCCCATCAAAGCATGGCCATGTGCCTCTGTTAGCATGGGTGAAACAAGGGTGCTGAGAGCTTGTGGTCTCAGGGGCTTCGGCGTGGAGGATGGGCAAGGATAGAAAGGAGAAGGCATAGGAAAAGAGAAACATGTTAGTGCCAAGATGGTCAGGCTAGGGTCTCTTTGCACTCACCATTGTTACTTTCATGAACCAGTACTTTATCAGCTGTTTAGATGAGAGAAAGAGAATAAGCCAGCATTTCTGTCTGAGATTTACCCTCTCTTTACACTCCATCTCCCCTCAGGTCTCATTTTGCCTTCTAGCCTGGAGTTTTTGAGGCTTTTTCTAGCCCCTTAAAGCTGCTTATGTCAGCTTGTAAACCCCATTTCTTTTTCATCTTCATTTCTTTAGGACCTCTTAGATTCTTCTTCCCACTCCTAAGGGTTATAGCATAGATAAGAAGGAAGTGGATAAATACAAATGTTTTTAACTTCATTTCTTCCTTCAGTTGAACCTCTGTGAAAGTCTCACCTGAGATCTGACAACAGACCTCTGAAATTTAGGAGGTTGCTACCTTAGACTTGGCCATCTGGTTTCTGTGAACTTTACATTCCACTTCTCTGGTCTGTTGTTCTTGCCTTCAGCTTTGCCAGTTCTTTGTCGGCCCTAAAGACACCCCTCACCCTGGCTGTATCCTGCCAGAAGAGGCTGCTGAATGTGGGAATTACTGAATGTGGTTTACTTTTAGTCGCTCCCCCCATCCCAATCCACTCAAACTGGATTCTCCTCCCGTCTTCTTATTCATTTCTCACATTCACGTCTACTCACATTTGTTAATATCGCCTGAAAGTGACCCAGAGAAAACTGTTGAAAAACAAAAAGGTAAAAATCATACTGTCTGCAGAGTATAATTTTACAACCCTCACTTCACAGCTTCTAGGAATCTCTCAATCTGTTGGCAAACAGTCTACTTCCTCCTTTGAGCAAGAGGGCTTTGGTTAAGGTCCCAGTGACAGGATAAAGTGTCGGTGGGAGGCATGGCACACAGGGGCCACTTTTCTTGCTGGGTTGCCAAGGCTGGCTTCATCATGGGAGTTCTTCCCTGTTCCTGGATCCTGGACTATCTCACCAACTGGTACCTCTCATGACTCACCCCTCAAATAGCAGAGTAAGATGAGACATTTCATTAAGTGGGGCTTGCCCATTTTGGAGGCAGAAAGGTTTAGGTTAGGACAGGACAGGTCACTATTTATACAGTGATGAGGCTGGGTTTCTTCAATAGGAGCTGGGGGGTGGGACACTGAGAACGTCATTGAAAGGCATACCCTGATGCCAGAAAACTCAGCTCTCAAGTCTTTTCTTTGTAACTTGGGGAAAAGAGAGACTGGCTAGGAAAGTCCTGGACTTGACTTATTCCAGCCATGTCTCAGGATTCTGATACCCAGCTCTGTAGTCTTGTCATTGTATCATTCTGTGAAAGGACACAGAATAGATCAGGGTTGGATCAGTGGGATCAGAGTGACCTACACCAAGGTACCTGAGAGAATACACCAGAACAAAGAATCACAATGCAGGAAGGCTTAGAGTCTTATGAAATATGTGCTTTCTGAAAATGGAGGTAAGAGGAGCAGAAAGGTTGGGCTCCAAGACCCTGCTGGAGGACTCTCACGAAGGCAGTGGAGCTCCCGTCAGTCATTCTGGAAGGGAGCAGATCATGAGGTAGAAGAGGAAAGCTGAGAAGGGAAATGTTTCCTTTTTGGATGGTTCATATTGAGGCTTCAATTAGAGAGATAAGTTTATCCTCCTAGATACCTGGGGAGATTAGGTAGGGTGGTGGCTGGATGTGTTTCCTATGTAGAGGATAGAACCTGAAGATATAAGGAGCTATATATAACCCTTCACTCTAGTCTTTTTTTTTTTTTTTTTTTTTTGTAGCTTTTTTATTTTTCATTGCAGAGAACCAAGGAGAGGGGCTACATCCTGGCTTAAGGAAAATCCACAGGGGAGAGAATTAGCTACTGGAAGACAATGCATTGTGATCTGGCACCACACACTCCATAGCAAAAGTGAATAGAGATCTGAACAAGGTATATGGATCCACGCTGGTTTGGAGATTATTATAAGCCCAAAGAGCTAGTTGGCACCTTTAAAAATGGCTGACAAGAGATACACAGCAGGTGACTGTTTCCCTGGGAGCACTACTACCCTATTAAAGTGGCATCATTTAAGGTTCAGGTGTTAAACATTTCTGTTCACATGCATGAACTACTATGCTTGGCCAGTATAATTCCTTCTCAGGTCTCCTACAGAGACTTTTCCTGGAGTAGGCATCAGCTTTTTGCTTCTGTTTTCAGTGTAGCTCCTTTGATCCCTGAAGACCTTCTAACCCTTTTATAGCCATTCTGTAACACACACACACACACACACACACACACAGAGAGAGAGAGAGAGAGAGAGAGAGAGAGAGAAGCATAATGCATGATTTACTAGCTAATGTTAGTGATTAAAATAAGAATAAAAGAAAATGTGATTGACAATAGACAAGTGAACTTAGGAGTACTTGGTGAACTAAAGTCATGGAAACTGATGTAGCTCTTGAATTTATTGTTATTCAATAAATTCTCACATTGTGAAAAGAAACAAATGTCCTCATCTTTTTTTTTTTTTTGCCATATTTTATACATATTTAAAACATGGATCCAGGGGACTGCCAAGATAGCTCAGTGAATGAAGTGCTTGCTGTTAAGCCTAACAGCCCAAGTTCAGTCCTCAGAATACACATGGTGAATGTACAGAACTGACTTCTGCAAGCTGTTCTCCAACACAAATGCACAGTAGGTAGTACACACATGTTCTCCTATTCCCAAAAGAATAAATAAATAAATAAATAAATGTAAAAAAACAAACAGAAGTAAATAAGTAAAATGATAGAATTGCCAAGTTAAAATCTTTTATTAAGTTTGTTCTTTGGAAATATATATGTATATATATATATCACACATATATTTTTATGCATATGTATCTAGTACATTCTTATTACAGTCACCCTTGTACCTTTGTGACTCCTACTATCCTACCTTCCTTTCTACAAATTCCTTTCACACATACAGGTGTTTTTGTCTGGTTTTGTGACCTACTGAATTCATCCAGGGCCACTTGTGTTACCATTGGTTTGGAACTATGCACTGGAACTTAATGGTCTCACTACTGAGCAAAGAACTTGAAGACAATTGCTGTCCTTCTTTCAGAATCCATTAGAAGTCCATAGTTCAGCAAGGAAGGGTAGGACCACTCCTTATCTCACTCCTTATTGGCAACCGATTATTGACAGAGGCAGCCTAGTGCAGGCCTAGAGGTCTGACTGAAGCTCTCCCAGGACACTGGCTTTCAGTGCCAGATTGGGAATGCTGAAGCATCAAATGTGGACTGAGCAGCTACAGGGTTCTTAGGCCCTCCAGCAGGAGACGGCCATTGATCATGAGATCATGATTCCAGTGGCCGTATTTTGTGTTTAGTGGTGAGCATTGGGTCATCACATTCTTAATTCATGTTTTTTTTTTTATTTTCTTGCAAAGTATCAAGTTTCCATATGACTTTACAATGCACTCTTCAATTTGATCAACTTTTCCTCCTTATTCCCTCCCCTTCCTCATTCCTCTACTTTCATACCTGCTTAATATTTCCTCTTCCCAGAATTCCCTGCTCTGTCTTCATATCACCTATATTCTGCTAGCCCACCTCCCTTGAAGCATCTTCCACTCTAATAACTCTTTACTAATTTCTTGGACTCTTTTAAAAATAATTACTTTATTTTTAATTATGTGTATGTACATGCATATGTATATGTGAGCGCAGGTGTCTGTGGAGGTTAGAAGAGGGTGTTGAACCTCTTAGAGCTTGAGCTGCATAGATGGTTGTGAGCTGCTTGATGCACATTATGGGAGACAAACTCAGGGCATCTCCAAAAGCAGAAGGTGCTCTGAACTGCAGGCTCATTTCTTGCCTTCTACAGGTTTTCTAAGTTGAACACACAAATCTAAAGACTGGAAACTAGGATCTGCATATGAAAGGGAGCATCCATACAGGGTTGTCTCTCTGGGCCTGAGAGCCTTGCTCAGAATAATTGTTCTAGTTCTGTCTACTTTCCTGTAAGTTTTATAATTTTGTTTTTCCTTACAGTTACATAAAATTTCATTGTATTTACTTACTATATTTTTTATTAACTATTCATCCATTGATGAATGGTTGATTTTTTTAAAAATTGATCTTGCTGTTTCTTTGTTTTAAAATAGATCTTGGGCTGGTGAGTAAAGTCCAGTGGGTAAAGTCACTTGCCCTATGAGCCTTGTGGCCTAGGTTCAATCACCGAGACTCACATAAACGTGAAAGTGGAAGAGGGGAGAGAACTGACTCCACAAAGTTGTCCTCTGACCTCCACATGTGTACTGTTGCATGTGTACACACACACACACACACACACACACACACACACACACACACACACATGCACACGCACAAACACATCCTGCACATACACAGACACACAATAAAATAAGTTTATTTTTCATAAACTTATTTCATTTGTCATGGGAATGTTTTCACTTAGTAACCTTGTTGAATAGGTCACTGAGGCTGGTGCTGAGTGGTAGAGCTGGAGAAATGAGATCTCAATGTGGACAGATTGCCTGTGTGATAAGGGGAATAAGCAAGAAAAAAAAGCCCAGCTGTTGTTCCAATGCAAAGCTTCATCTTCCTGGAATCTACCCAATGCCCTTAGGATGTGTACTAATGACCCAAGGTGGTAAGAACAATTTCTTCTTCATCAGGGTTTGAATCAGATAAGAACAGCCTATCTCATTTGCCTCAGGTAAGTAAAGAACACAGCTATGCATGACAAGGACTAAAAGAAATTAGGTTTCCACCTCCATGAAGGAGACAGGCTAAAGGAAATATATAAACAATACATACTTATCCAAGAAAGGACACTTTCTTGATTTGTATAAATGTCAAGGACATCACCAAGATGACCTTCACATAAGCTTCCATAAGCTTCCACGAGCAGCCACACACACACAGAATATTTTCCAAGGAGGGAAGGATTTGAGGTAGGGCATCACAGTAGTAGGGTGTAGCAGAAATAAATAAGGAGGGGTACACAGCAAAGGGCATGGAAGTCAACTTTACATTGCCAGCCTCACCTTCCTCACACAGAGGCAACGAAGCAGAGATGGAGGAACAGAGGGGGTGGGGTAAAAGAGTAGAGGGGAAAGGAGAGAGGAGGGAGAAAAGAGGAGAGAGAAGAGAGGGGAGAGAGGATGAATCTCCTTCTGGGGACAGGAAAGTGGACTGAGAACAAACCCCAACAATACCTTGCATTAAGCAAGCCCTTATGCTCCAAACTCCAAGCATGAACATTCCATCTGCAGGACAACACTCTCAGCAATGGGATCCAGGCAGTGTCTATAGACCCCAGCAAGGCTGACCCCAGACTTTGAGACTGACTTAGTACCAGGGGTTCCTTTGGCCTGAGGTCAGCCCATGTTGACCTACACTCCAGATTAATACCTATGTCCAGATTAATACCTATGATTGTTCTGCTTGTCATGGAAGATATTTGATTGGCATGGTATATAATTTTATGTGAAGAGAATAAAATTCTTCTTGTATTTAGCTTCTTTAATTCCATGTAATATTTTCATCTTAGAGGAAGGAAAAAACATAACTTTATGCAAAGTTTTACAAAAAAATGTTCATAGAAACCTTTTCTGTAACAGCTCTAAACTGGAAAGAACACTGATTTTTTTTCTCAAATGGTGAATGGGTAAATGAACAATGGTATAATGAAGGATTATGCAATAACAAAAAAAGAATGAACAATTGATAAATTTAACAAGAATATTATACATAATGAAAAACGTGACTCAAAATGATATGTACTGTATGATTCCATCTGTGGGACGTTCTCAGAATGACAGAACTGTATGAGTGGCAAGCACACCATTGCTCCAGAGCTGGGTGGAATGTCTGACTGGAGCAGCACAGAGGTTCTTGGCAATGATGGACAGCATGTGTCTTGCTTTTGGAAGATTTTACACAAAGTATACTGTGCTAAAATTCCATAGTGATCATGCTACAATGAGCATATGTCAAAACTGACAAAACTCAAATAAGTTGACATTTAACACTATTGTATATCTCTTAGAAA